CAAAAAAAAAAAAAAAAATACTATTAAGCATTCAATTTATGACCAGGGCAATGTTAAGCGGGGAGAGACTACAGCCATTGCCTCAGGGCCTCTACAAAACAGAAATAAGGTCTACAGATTTTACTGAGACATTTGCTCCTACAAAATACCAAAAAGTTTGTTTATATTTTTATTAACATAAGAAATTGGGGGGGGGATTATCATATGCAAAATTTGTTGCTACTGATGGAAGATTCAATATTTTTATTTCCTTGGGGGCCACCACAACTGTAAATCTGGCCCTGTTTATGGCACTGTGAACATGCTTGGAAATTGAGCTCGCCAATATAATTTGGGGAAACTTCAAAGAAGTTTAAAGCAGCATCGTATTAAGAAATCCCTGTGTAATTCAATAGAGCCTGAGGTTAGAGATTAGTTCCATCTTAGTGTTTCCACAGTAGGTTTTACGAGAGACAAAGCTAGCTTCTGAAGTTTTGTTTCTTTTAACCAAAATGAGATGATGAGAAATGTTCAAAATATGCATCAAGTTTATTTTTTATGTTGTCAATAATGTGGTACAATAGCAAACACCACCTAACTATTTGCAGTATGTTCAGCTTTGAAATGATGGAATTATGACCACTGAATGTACATAACACTAACTTTTACATGTAAAATGGCAAAGAATTTGGAAAAATACATGTACATTATTGGAATACAATTTTCAAATCTTATTTTATAAAGCATCTAAACTTGAATGTTTTTAAGTCACTGAGAAATGTAGCATTGTGATGCATTCAATGGCATTGGTGATTTAAGTGAAACAGACATAGATTGTACTCACAGTTGACTGTCGAGATCTTCTGGTTGAAATCCTTTGCAAAGGTATATGAACTTCTTGATCTTCATGACTGGATGCAGACTGATACATTTTTTAGTTCTTACAGAAATAATTAAGTCCAGGGATAACTTTACCTCACATTTACCTTTACCTTTGCTTATGGTAATGTATTTCAAATACAGCCTAACATTATATCCCTTATCTCACTTGCACACCCATTTGTACAAATATATTTACAGATTACAAGTCTAAATATGTCAAAATGACATTGATACGCTGTTATCTGACTTCATGACTCAAAGAGAGACTGACATGGAGTGATGCTGGTAATGCTCAGTTTGAAACCTGGCATTCACATTTGAAATTTTCAGATCAATGGAAGAGTAAGTAAACTGTTGTACAAACTAGACACAAATACATGCACACATTTTCAATGTGATGAATACGCTTACATAAATGAATGCAGGGCCATACACTAGGTTGTGCAGTAAAGGAATACAAATTCAAATAAAAACAAAATTGAATGGCTTTACAGATTTGAACAGAACTCATACAAGGTGTGTAGAATGCACATAGGTATGTGTACAGAAATATTAATTAAGTTTGGTTGATTCATCTTATATAAAAATATTTTCTACTTTATTGATAAAGTATGCATTTTATTTACAATTCAGTGGCTTTCTTTTATTTAAATCGGTTAAATGGGACCCAAATTTTCTTGAATTATTTCTTAAACCTGTCGTTCACATGGGATGATGTCTAATCAGATGTTATCACATCAAATGAGGGCATATATTTTCAGTTCTTTGTTGCAGTAACTCCATAGTGTCTGAAACAGTCCTGTCTGGTTTCTCTACACCAATTGTTTAAGTTTGCTCCAAATATGGCAGTCTAATGGATTTAAATCTAGAGAATTTGGTGGCCATTTTGTGGATCTGACAAATTCAACTGTATCATCTGACACTTTTGAAGAGCAGGTAATGTCAAGTAAGGACATAGAGAACCTCTTATTGCATTAAAAATATATACAGATTTTAGTAAAAAGTATGCAACATATACTTTATTATATATCTGAAGTCTTTCACCAATCAACTCGCTATGTCACACAGAAAGACTCTCAAGCTAGAACTGAGATGGAAACCTGCTGTTCTCACATTGTACTGGGTTTCTATAAGAGCTTTTCACATGCAACTGGCAGTTATATGTATCCATGTCAGATAACACTGAATTTACTGTACATGCTTTGTGAATCTGTGAATTCTAGACCCACTATCAAAGAACATAAATCAAAAGATAAAGTAACTCTGTGGCTTGAGTCCATAAGCAAACTATACTGACCAAGCAACCGCCGCTTGTCAGCGAAGTTAGTGCCAACTTTTAGCGGATAGAGGGGGTCACGTGGTCAGCGCAACGAATCCCCATGGCTGTTAATTTCGGTTTCCTGAGAATAACTTGAAATCTTTAAATTGTATATAACAGAAAGCTTATAAACGAATTCTACTTCCTATAGCATATCTGACAAGGCTCATCATCGGAGGTTTCACGGTTACATCATACTAGAATAAATGCAACTGAAACAGACGGAAAATTAATTAAGAAATGAGATTTAAGGTTTTAATGGCAAGTATAAAGGTTATTTGTCTTCTGGGATATCACACAATGCAACAATATCTATCAGATATTTACCAACATTTTGGAGGAATCTCCAACATGAGGGTAGCAGATTTCTCAAATATGTTGATAAGTTTCTACCAGACTACAAGGCATTATGTCCCAGAAGACAGTAATCTTCATAAATGAAGAGAATTATGATATTGGATGCAATGTTGTGAAGTTTGGTAGATAATGTTAGTGTTCTGGAAGAACCTGTTGCCCCCATCTTAAGGGTTCAAGAAGGACACAGCCACTTCCAGTAAAATGTCACCACCTGTCTAGCAAAATTCACAGTATCACATCCCAGAAGCTTAGTATGTCCATCTACTATGGGAATGAAAATGCATCAACATCACTTTGTGACACAGCCCATTGTGTCATCATTTCAGAGTTCTGGTAGTATGCTAGAGGGGAAATCTGAACATACTTACACAGGGCTTTCGTCTGCTTGCCTACTCAAGGCATGATGAACTTTAGCAGTGATGGCACATCTGGCTAAAGGACTGGAACTTATACTATTGCTTAGTAGTAATGATAACAAATAAGTGACAAGAGAAGTGCCAGTTGTTAGACAGGATATCGGTTCTGAGATGTGTGAAAATGAGAGGCCCAATTATAACTGGCCAGTGTTAATTAAACACAGCTCGGGACATGACATTAACTCGGTTACAGCACTCAAGACACTGAGCTCCACTCTCTGCTATCCCCTTTCCCACCAAATTTTCTGGCAGCTAAGCTACCGCAGAGCTCAAGGTCATAGATCATGTCTCATCACACCTACTGTATCACTGTTTCATAATAAGTTGTATCATATTGCAGTTCTGTAAGAGTAGATGCAAGATATTTGAATTCTCTCACCCTTTCAACTTCCTGGTCATCTGCTTTAAGCATTTTTTAATTAGCTGGCCTTTTTGTTACTTCCAAGTATTAAGTTTTTGGAAGCTAGATTGTTAATCCCTATTTCCTTTGCTTCTTTTAGCACACCTGTTTCTCCCCACTAAAACAATGTCATCTGCATATGNCAGCCATCACTATATGGAATACTGAACTCAGTGACAGGAAATCTGGTTATGGCAATAGAGATTGGATTAAGGTGACTCATGGCATGCTACTGGTAACATGATTCTTTGTCCTTATTCTTTAATGACTAAAACATGAGCTACAAAAACTCAAACAAAAAGAAGTAAAATTCATAATAAAATAAATACATACTATAATTTTAATATTATTACTATTAGCTCACTCTACAACACCACAGGGAGGAAAGCATGGCCACATAATTAATCTGAGATATTATTCACGTAGAATATTTTTACAGCAATCACAGCTGCACACAATATACAGTTGGCTTCAGCATAAAACATTTCCCAACATGCAACACAAATAAATTACATAAGAATACAATTAAAAAATATTTTTAATATACTTCTATTTCAATTGCTTCTGTTGGCCAAATATCCAAAACAAAATAGAGATCTATAAGTATCAATAACATTTATTTTTGAATACTTATTACTGGACACAGAAACACGATATAGAGACAAAAGGTTAATCACAGAGATAAATTTGTATACCGAACATTTTATTAATTCCAAGCAGAACCATTCTACCTACCCACCATTAATTATATGGGAAAGAACTACTACTGCAGTTTGTTATGAGCCTTGCCTTCTTACGGAGGGACAGCTCCACACTTCTTAAACTTTGGTACTGGATGAACATGAATGGTCAGTGTCATGTCCTCACCTATTACCCCAGGGGAGAAACAGCATTTGGTAAGCAACAGATAGTAGGCTGGCTGGACCCCAGAGCTGGTGAGGAGAGGGTGGCAAAAAAAAATTTCAGTCCCAAACAATAATCAAACCAGTCATCCAGCCCACAGCATGGTCACTATAGTGACCAAGCTGTTTGGTTCATTATTAAGCAACTGTGATAAAATGAAAGCCAAGGTCAACAGAGATCAGAGGTTAGGATAATCTTATGAATGAATGAGGATGATGCAGGAAAGCATAATTAAATACAAAGATATGCTGTCTACAGTGTGATTTGACAGTGGGAGGGGGAAGAGGGAAATGGCTATGGTGCTTGTTAAGTACAGCCCCAATTCATTAAGGAGAACAAAAGTTATATTTGGTGTGACAAATTGCTGGTCAGAAAAATACCATTCACAAACTACAACACAATAAATGTATTATACTGAATCAAATAAAATAGAAAGAAGGAAGATGGTTAGGCCAAACAGATGCCTGCGGTGGAAGCAATATGGGAAACATGTCAAAATATGCAGACAAAATTCTTTCCATAACTGACTAGATTTAACTAGCCAAACCTGTTAACAATTCCTAAAATAAAGAAAAATGGTGAACTGCATTTAATAAAATACCAGATTCAAGTAAAAAATATATTCATATACAGTATGTAAATACTAACAAAGTAATTTCATATAACAGAAGAAAAAATGGAAAACATGTACTTCATACTACAGCACATAAAACTCCCAACAGCACTCATTGTAGCTTATGCTTATACAAGTATGCAACCATGAAGTTAAAATACACTTCATTATGGGTGAATATGGAAGAAAACTGAAATTCCCCAACAACTTTTAGCAGAAGTCTCTCATACTGAATGTTAGATATAATCTGTCCAGCAGTTTAGGTGCTAATGCTAAGTCACAGACAGCAAGCAGACATGACCTCCAAATATGGCATTTATTTTTAATTTGTAAATAACATCTAAAAAAAATCAGTTCACACAGTTACATGATTAACTTGAACACTGATACTGAGAGTAAAAATTCAAAGGAAACACACCTGATAGTGACCTGAGAACAAATGGCTCAGCCAGGCACTGGAAGACAGTTAAGAGCAAATAGTGCTGGCTAGAAATCAAAAAAGGAAAAGACTTTGAGAAGATAAACTGAAGACTCTGTATATCGACCCAAACAAAACTGAAGCGATGCTCAGGGAAGATTATTAGCCAGCAGTCTTAATAATGTGAACATTGCCATATTCCATCCGCACATCAAAACGTTCTCTAGAACAAGAAAAAGCCACTGAAACTGTAAATCTGGATATACAGTATCTACAGATGAGGATATGGTAGTGACCTAACCTCACACAATTACATAACTGATAAAAATATATTTGCAGCACATTAAAATTTCCTAAAATATATGTCATTATTCTTGAATTTAATTCCAAAAATAAAGTATCTGAATATTAATCACCAATAATATAACAAGTTTCACTAGTTTATACATGAATTTGAAGTTTCATGGTATGGTTTAATGCAAAGAGTGATAGCTTTCATTAAAAAAAATAAAGACTTTTTTGCAGTTATTTTTTAAATAAGTTCTTGCAGGCTACAAGAGAAAGACAATTACTGAAGTTGAGTTTAAAGATAAAGTTATACCTCTGTGTGCTTAAATAAGCACTACGCCATAAACATGTATGGGGGTGTAAATAAACAACCCCATATATCCCGAACCTTGGCACTAGATGAAGGTGAGTGGTATGTTTCACATCTGAGCTGCTTACTTGCAGGAAAGAGCTCCTAGTACCCATTGCACAGGTGGCTGGGAAGGCTTCAGAGCCAGTCTGGATGCTATGACGAACAGAAAAATCTCTGCCCACGCAGGGAACAGAACTGTGATTCTCCAGTTGTCCAGCTTGTAGTCTACTGAGCTACATCAGCTCTCCAAAGTTAAACTTAACATTCTGTAATTTTTATATGTAAAATTTATGTACAAAAGATACATATTTGTTAAAGGCAAGTATTTTAAAGGAACTATTATATTACTTCTTCCTAATTCCCTTCTTTTGAAAAAATAAAAGCAGGCTTATGAGATCATCCTGCTGTCTGTGTGTATGTGTCCTGTCTATCAACTTTTGAATGCTTCAACTAATCTGCATAAAACTTGGTATGTACATCATGCGTTTGAGCCCATCTTAAAGGCATGAATATCCCCCCCACCATCCTCCAATCAGTCTGTGTGTCTGTATGTGTGTCCCCCCCCAATCAGTGGTGGGCAATGGCTCAGTAAACAGCTTCCCATAGCAACGAATACACACAACATTAGAAGTATTGTTGGACACGTCATTTTCCGTGCAGTCCATGTCATATCAAAAGGGAGTCTGTGTATGCCCCTACTGTTGCTAGGCAACGGCTCGGTAAACATGTTCCCGCATCATCGAACAGTTCTTGGAGGTACTGTTTTCTATGCACTCTGCATCATATCAAAATAAAATAGGCAATAAATTAATTATTCTCAGAACTCTCTGTTTCTTCAGTATACCACTTACAGAGAATCAGAGAAATCTGAATAAACATGAACTTTAACAGACCCAGCAGAATTCATTTTCTTAAGAAATAATCATTTGCTAAATTCAAATCATGAATGCACGTGTCAGTGACGTAACAGGATGTGTAGCTGTCTACTGTCTAGCGAATGTGACTGTCATGGATGTCACAGCACTTGTTGTTCCTGCCTTATTTCAGATTGTGCGTTATCCTTATTAAAGATGTCCACGTAGGTACTAATATTTCTAGTGGGTAAAGAGAGCATTTCTATTATAACTGTGGACTGAAGCACATTCCACAGGAACATCTCAACTTAAAACATGAAAAAATAGGCTTCATGTTATTGAATTCCCTCATATGGACATACTTTTGGTACACTGTTTTCATAACATGAGGGTATCTTATATTAACATCTGAAGCTGTTCAATAATACAGGGTGTCTACAATGAGACACCCTGATTTTGACGATGTTTTAAAAACAGGAAAATGTTTTTTAGGTGTTAAAGGTCTCCCACATACTACAGGAGTTCAAATTCCTACCTAAATTTTTAGGCGACCTCACGGGGTACTGTTGTCATTCCACACAAAGTTGGTGTCAGCTCTGGAGAAGGTGAGTTCTGTGGTTTTTGAGTTTAAGCCCACTGTGAGGGTGCAAAGGGAGTTTCGTTGTGTTTATTAGAAAGCTGCACTAGATGCAAAGAGGATTAAAGCATGGAACAACAAGTTTCTGGAGAGTGGAAGCATCTTGAAAGGGCATGGAGGAGGCTAACAACATGTCTCTGATGAGAAGGCAGAGAACATCCTTATGGTGTTCATCTGAATTCCAAGGAAGTCAATTTGTTGGGCATCATGGGAACTGCAGATACCACAAGCAACTGTGCATAAGGTTCTCCTAAAGAGGTGGTGACTCCATGCATACAAGGTGCAGATTCTGCACGAGCTGCAACCAAAGGACAACCCAAGGCGACACAATTTTGCCTGTGACATGCATGACTGAATCAGCAGAAACCCCAACTTTCTGACAAACATCATGTTTCCAACGAAGGCCACTTCCCATGTCTCTGGTGCTGTAAACAGGCATAATGTTCAGATATGGGGATCACAGCATCATGGAACATGTGTGAGACAGCCTGAAAGTGGATGTTTGGTGTGGCGTCATGTATAACATCATCATTGGACCATTTTCTTTGCAGAAAAGACTGTCACAGGTAGCTCATACTTGGACATGATGCAGCTCTATGCCTTTCCTCAGCTAGAACACCTGCAGCCAAATGTCTTTCTCCAACAAGATGGAGCTCCACCCTACTGGTTGCTAGACGTGTGGTGAGCTCTGAATGCAATGTTTCCAGGCCGTTACATAGGACGAGATTGTCCAACAGATTGACCTCTGCATTCCCCTAACATCATATTGAAATTCTTTTTGTGGGGCTACATAAAGGACAGAATTTACGCCACTAAAGTGGGAGACCCTCGAGAGCTCTGGGCCCGGATGGTGAAAGCTGTCGGTACCATCACTCCAGATATGTTGCAGCAGACCTGGCGGAACTCAATTACAGACTAGATATCCTATGTGTCACCAATGGTGCTTACGTAAAAGTGTACTGATTTTTTAAATTTAACTTTGTATGTTGTGTGACTGATATTTGTCAATAATTAGGCCAAATCACTATTCCTCACTTCCTGAAAATACAATAAAATAGGGCGTTTCATTGTAGATACCCTGTACAATATTCCCCCCAAAACAATATATTTTTTACTTTACATGTTCACCCCAAGTCCCAAAAAGCACTTTTATTGAGAGGCAGATTGCTGCAAGAAAACATGTCAATTATAATTGGTTGATATACAATGTACAATGCATGAATCAGATTTAAGAAGGCAAATTCATCATTATCTGCATTACTCAAAAGGAATTTCATACAAACCAAGAATTTCAGATGTACAACAGCTGACATCTCAATATATTGGAGCTATGGGAATCACTGGCACCACTGACAAATAATGTTTAAAGTGTGGTAACGGGCAGAGAAAACATTTGCCATCAACACATAACAAATCTGAAGAGACATTTATCCTAACGTCTTACTGAAATGTAACCATGCAAACTGGGAGATTTATTTTCATCACGGTGATGACTACAAAGATTATTGTCTTCTCTGTCTTCTAGGGTGTAAACCCCATGTAGTCAGATAGACATTGTAACATGACACCTGAAACGTAGATAGTGGAGCCAGAAGAGACGGTCTTTGCTATGCAATGGCTCGATAAACATTTCTCTGCAACAGTGGATACACATTCAACAACATAAGAACTGTTGGAAACTGTGTTTTCTATGTAGTCCGTGCTGAGGCTGTATAACGAAGGATGAATGAGGCAGTTGAAGGAATCACAAGAGAGTGGTCTGAAGGCTCCCAGAGCCATCAGAGAGTCATGAGTCATGAGTCCTGTTGGACTCAGAACCAAGAAACACTGTGCTGGTGACAGCCAGCAGCAATTTAGCAGTCAGTCAGTTGCAGCTGAGAGTCAACAGTCATGGCTAGGAGGTCATGAATTGCAAGCCAGCTGCCACCCAGCAAGGAAGTGAGGACAGAAGCTGAAGAATCTGCACGGTTAGCAGCTGCCACCTAGGAACAACTTGTGAAAACACAGAAGTCTTAATGGTTGCAGTAGTGATATATAAGATTGCATAATCTGTGAAATTGTTGTAGTTACATATAGTTATTAGTCATAATTATACAATAAAACTAATTACTGATCCAAACCCTGTGTATAGTCACTAATATGTGACAATACTTACTACCATTCCGGAGAAACCTTCTACCTCCATTTTTATGTTTTTCTACCCTGATGAAGGATGGAGCAGGTTCCTCTGAAACGATGGTGAATATGTACCAGATTACACACACTACATAACTTCCTTGAAGACAGTAATTTCCATGGTCACCACCAAGACAAACTAAAATTTCACAATCAGTAAGGCATAGTTGTGCTTATATTTCAATAGCGCATGAATATACATCTGTCTTCAGGAGATCCCAGTGCGTCCCAGAAGAAAGACACTAACACATGGATAAATATTGATACTTATTTTACATTATCTTTACAAACTTGTAGATAATATAGAGAATAAATTTATTAAATAGTTGGTACTGTTCGCCTCCTTTGTTGAGATCTGCTTTGGACCTAAATACAATTTTCTACATATTGACATTGAGCAGTTACGGATTTGGTCCAGATTCTGAACCTACTATAGGGTCTGATTCATCAGCAGGTTGGCTGATGAGAGTGTCCGTATCACTGTGTCCTGCATTCCTGTTTCGCCACAGCGCAAACTTCTGTCCCAGAGCTGCAAACACATTGTTGTAAAGACCCATACCAATCACCAAGAGAATAAACCCAATGATCTGAAACACACAGACAGTTTTATATACCTAAAAACACCAATATACAGTGGAATCTCCATTTAATGTCCTTGATCTAAACTTTATGGACTGTATTTGAATCTCCAGCTACTAAGCTGCTGGTGACTAGATTTGAGCTTGGCATTGATGCTATTTATATTGTAAACAATTTGATGCTAGGCTTGGTGGGGCATATCAAACCTGAGCACATGCTGATATAGTTATGTGACACATATACAATAAAGGCCAATGTATTGCATCATACAACATTAAGTTTCATACTCAGCAAATCAGCAATGAGAGTTAACTTTTTTCCATTTAATTTCTCATCAGTTTAGTACACAAATCCATTTCTCCCCACAAATATCTTCAATGGGAGTTTCGATTCATAGGAAAGGTTCTACAGAACGAGGCTACCCATAGTGTCATAACACAAACTCAGCGTAAGGAGTGAGATGATTCTTATAGAGTCAATGAGCATGAGTTTGTTCTCTTTCGCAATTCTGCAGTACGCTGCTAAAATCAATAGCATACATCCACCTGTTCCCATTTAGAATCCTCCTTTAGAGGCCCAAAGATATGACAATTCAGCATAAGAGAACACTACGCATCATCTCTCAATGCATTAGCAACTGTTTCCTGTGGATGATTTTCTATATTGGCATAAAATTATCTTCTGAGATGTGACACCATGTAGTCTGGTAGATATTTACAAACATCAGTGGTAGGATAGTTGTCAGTATAGCAACTATGCTACAGCCTGGAGGGTCAAGGATTCAATGCTCACCATGAGGAAGAGATTTTTCTCTCCTGTACACAGTCCAGATGAGCTTTGGGGCCCACCCAGATGCCTATCTGATGAACACCAGGGGCTCCTTCCATGGGAATAAAGTGACCAGTATGCAGAGCTGACCACTCCCCTATCTTGGTAAGTAACTACCAGATCACATACTTTCACATCAAAGTGGGTAACGCTCTTCAGTCTACAAAGTTGGAACCTCAAATTTGATTTCTATTTGATAATTTTTTTGCTTACATATGTAACACATTAGGATAATCAAAAGCTGGGAAAAAAATTACCTGTAACCAATAGAAGGTCTGCCAACCCAGTGCCAATGAAACACTGAAAATGAAAAGTGTCCGTACACTGTCGAGAACCATTCTCGTTGTTGCCGAAATCTCCTTGGTTACAGTGATACCGGCGAAATTGAAGAATGCTATACTTAAGATGGTACCTGTCAAAACACAAAGCAGGGAATGACTGTTATTTCCAGAATAACTTCTCTTATGTCATATTCAGCAAAAATTGAGCTGAATGATTCTTAGCCCACTTCTGACATAGTTTAGGTGAAATAGCCACGAAATGAAGAATGGTATGTCTTTCATCGGATGGAAAGGATACAGAAAGAAGTGATCATAACCTAATTTAACTTTCTAAATGCTAAAAATGACAGGAGCTGTGTTAGTGCAGTTGGTATAGCAACTGGATACAGGCTGGATGACTGCGGGGTCAGAGTTCGAGTCCCAGTAGGGTCAAGAATTTTCTCTTCTTCACGTCATTCAGACCAGCTCTGGGGTCCATTGAGCCCTCTATCCAATGGGTATGGGGGGCTCTTTCCCTGAAGGTAGAGTTACAGGAGCATCGAGCTGACTACTCACTTCCAGCTGGTGCCGAGATCAAGAAATTGTGGATCTATACATCCATTCCCCATACACTTTTCATGGTGTAGTGCTTAATTAGTTAAGCACAGGGACAACTTTACTTTCTTTTACCTTTACAAACAACATAAATTGTTGTCCATTTATGGTCTGAAGTACTGAATTTGAAAATGTCAGTGCATATATACTCTTCTGTCACCTTTTGACATCTGAAGCCAACAATATGTGATGAATACGAAAGGCATTACTTTTCTGAAAGAAACATGGAATGGATAGGGTTGAGGCGCTAGCCTGGCATCTGCAAGGGGGGGGGGGAAAAGGGACAGGTATCCCTGTAACAGGCCATGGAGAATCCATAGGGTTGTGAGATGTCGAGGCTCCCACATTTTCTGGACAATCGGCTCATATATAGAGGCAAGGTTGTCAGCTCTATGCGCTGGCCGCCCTTTAGCCCCAAGAACATTTCAAGAATATTCCTGGTACTCATTTCTGTTAGAGGCTGAGTCGAGCCCAGGGTCATAGTGCGGCTGGAAGGATTAGGTCAATAAAAAAAAATCCAATGACCTCATCGAGACTTGAACCTGCAACCTTCTGGCTTGTAGCATAGGGCCTCAACCAACTATGCTATCACATGCACAAGAATTTTAATACTTTGTTTCATTTGCTGTTTACTTACCGATGCTCCCCAGTAATTTAGGATATGAGCATAGTGTCAAATGAGAGGATGTCAATTAATAATGAATTGGAAAGGATGCAGAAGGAAGTGGTCATAGCCTAATTCAAGGGGCTATCTTGCCATTTGAAAGAATATATGGATCTAAACATCCAGCCCCCTGCCATATGTCTTCATGGGATAATTCTTAATAAGTTAAGCAAAGGTACAACTTTACTTTTAACTTGCCATTTGCCTGGAGACTGGAAACCATGAAAAATCTGTCTGGATAGCCAGTGTCCCAGCTGAGATTTGAACTTGGGACCTCCTGAATACAATTCATAAGCATTACGGCTTGAACTTACATGCTTGGTATCATCTTGCAGGGACTGAGGAAAACTGTAAAATATCTCAGACAGAATACATATCCTCTACACTGATGCCTGAATCCGAGACCTCCAAAATATTGGAAAGTTCCTGGACTAGGTCAAAACAGAAATGCTGGCTTAACTCACTCACTTCTGGCTGCCATCTCCTTCAAAATAGTCTCCTTGGGAATGTATACAGCGATCCTATTGTTTTTTCCACGCTTCAAAAACATCATGAAAGTCATTTTCCTTAATGCTGTCAAGTATCGCTTACAATTCCGTTTTGATGTCAGACACTGTTTCAAAACGTTGATACACACACATTACTCAATTTTTCAATCAATCGGACGTAAAACGAAATATGAAGATGAAAAAGCACTCATGTAAAAGCAATGCCTGTTCACAGTGCAGAGTCATGTGGCAGGCTGATGCAGTAGGCTTGCAGAAGCGTGACCTTGGCCTCCTCTCTCATCTTCTTTCACAGAGGTAGTTACAGTAATAACAGTCCGGGAACTTTCCAGTAGCACCTCGTCATGTAGAAATTCTAACATGATTGCAGTTTCTTGCAGTCAGTGTTCTCATAGGTAGTGTTTGTTACTTGAGTACTGGCATGTACTGTGTCCATATACACCAATTCTAGGGAAAGTGGATTTTAAGGCAGGGAATTAACTTCAGTTTAAATGTGACTTAAGAGCAGAAAACATTCTGAAACCTCACACTTGCAGGTAAGGTAAAACTATGGAAGTGTGGAGATAGTGTAACACAGCGTCGAGAATCAGAAAAGTGCATTATCTCATTTTGTGACCAAAAATGGAGACACAACACTCCAACATATGGTGACAATGTGAAAAGTTTGAATAAAAATATCTGAGCAACAGCATCACAGCTGTATAATCTCCAAAATACTTACCAGTTACAGCGCAGATTATCAATGGATTGTGCCTCATCTGTATAAATGCCTCAAGTACATCTTCTAGAACATGACGAGGATTATCACTAAATGGTTCAGGCACCTGGATGAAGTAGAATGGTATCAGCATAAAACCCAAAATGCTGAACCCAAATAGACCTGAAACAAAGCACAATTACATAAACTAACAGGTGACATTAACATAAAACCTGGATTGGGAATGATTGTGAGGTGCCTCTTAAATGGGAGATAGGTTCTCTTTGAGCAAGTCTTGGCAGTCTCTTAGCCCTTCCTTCAAGGAAAGGCAGAAGACAGCTGAAGAGCACTATTTTCTGGGATGTTATGCTCTGTAGTCCAGCAGAAGTGCATTGACATTTCGGAGGGGCTCATACTGCTGCCTGCTTCTCCTTCAGTTTACTCTTTGACCCAAAAGATGGGGGCATTATGTTCCTCCAAAATATCAGCGAACTTCTTCTGGGTTACATGGTGTGTCACATCCTGTATGACAATGTTCTCACCACTGTGAGAAGCTCAATTCCAACATAGAGTTGCCAGATTTGATGTTATCATGACAATGATTAGGAAGTGTAGTATCTTCTGGGATATGATGCCATGTAGTCTGGTGGATGTTATATGTTTTGGAAGAAAAAAGTTCTCTCTGAGGGTAAGATAGTCACTTTCTCCTCAGATGTTCATTTATCTTGACCCTCGTGACAAAAAGAAAAGAAAGGGCGGCAGTTTTTCACTTCCAATTTCCTGCCTCCAATGGTCATGAAAGGGCTGTTTCTTCTCCTTCATTTCCCTCCTATGATGGTAAGTACTGGAGTCCTGGGAAACAATGTTTCCTGACATTTCCAGTCCACCATTCTTATTGGCCCGCACGGGGCTCCATCCCCCCCCCCCTGGATCTGAATGATGATCTTCCTTGCAAGCTGCTTATGTAGCCCAACTGCTCCTCACCTTACACACTTTGACCCTGAAGATGGAGGTAACAGGTCCCTGTGAAACTTTGAGATCCACTTATAAGATGACGAAACAGTATCAACACCCAGATGATGATAATCTGAACAATCATTGCCATGACAGCCTCGAAAACGTGACTGTTGGGTACTTACCCTCCCACCCAACTGCTTGCAAAGCAGGAATATCCAGACCTGACACAAACTTCTCTTCTAGAACCATCTGTGAAGCTGCAACAACTTGTGCTCCAATGATCAACATGTCACCTACAAACAAAGAACAAAACAAATAAATATTGGGCACTACCTGACAATCGGTGACATAATTAACGCACCAATTTGCTGATATTTTCCTTGCCTGTAGGCTTACTGAGTCAGCGAGGTACATTCACTCTGACTGATGTGCTAACACCATACAATCCAGAGTCTCTTCTCAGTGTGAAACTTGCATAAGTTTACTGCATTTTCACCTAGATTATGAAAACAATTCTGAAAATGTTCCATCACTCACAATACCCTTTGGAAAACTAGTTTTAAGATTTGAATAAGCATGACTATTATTTTGGACACTAAGGTCACGGGTTCAAGTCCCAATGAGGTGGATTATTTTCAATTGACCTAATCCTTCCAGCCGTGTTATGGCCCTGAGGTCGACTCAGCCTCTAACAGAAACGAACACCAGGAAGAATTACTGGAGGCAAAGGGTAGCCAGCGCATAAGGCTGACAACCTTATTGCCATCTGTGAGCCATCTGTCTAGAAATTATGGAAGGTTTGGCATCTTGCAACCAGGCCTCTATGGCCTGTTACAGGGACAGCTTTAACTTTACCTTTAGTTTGCTACATCGCTAACAAATCAGAGAATCCTGCTGTCTCCGTTTTCAGGGTAGAACCCTTTTCTGAAGATGGGGGCAGCAGGTTCCTTGAAAACACTAGTACCTACGTACCAAACTATATGGTATCAGATCCAAGAAAAATATAATCATCATATTCACAACCATGAGACCATCAAATCTTGCGTGTGCAAACTGTGCACTGACTTTAACCTGACGAGGTTAATCACACATGAGAAACCTCCGTGTGGGCCAAAATTTGAGCTTGGAACATCCCGAATAGAAAACAGAGCGGTAATTAATGTGCCATGACGTTCAATCTGAAACATGTAAAACGTACCTAAGACAACTTGCCCTGTGGAATGATTAGAGGCTGGTGCAGGTACATTGGTTAGTTCAACAGACTCTGACGGTGTAAAGAAGTCTGATACCCCAACGAGAGCCAGACCGCCAATTACCAGGAATATGCCTCCCCACTCTTGCACCACCAGTTTTCGGTTGAGGAACAGCACAGAAAATACTCCCACAAACACAATCACAGCACCTACACAAAAAAAATTGTGATAACAAACCACACACATTCTACTACAGCACACAACTGCACTTCTGTACCTGACAAGAAATAATACAAGTAACGCAGTAACAAACAGAAGAAAATATTCTGGGGTATTCATGGCAGTGACTGTTAATATTTCAGTCTTCTCGGTTCTAACACTGTGCAGTACTTTAGGTAGATACTGTTCACTTTCTCATGGAGGCCAGCAGGGTTGTGCAATGTCGAGGCTCCAGTACTTTCTAGACAATTGGGTCACAAGCAGCAATGAGATTGCCTGCCCAGAAGGTTCCTAGAATTCATTTCCATTAGAGGCAGAGTCGACCACAAAGTCTTAAGGTGGCTGGATGGATTAAGTCAATTTAAAAATCCAATGATCTCACTGGGAATCTACCCATGACCTTCCAGCTCGTAGCACAATGCCTCAACCAACAGTGCTTGGCCTGTTACAGGGATGGCTTCATCTTTTACTGCTCACTCCATCTTCAGGGTACTTTTAAAATCTTTTCCATCTTTGAAAAAAACTAATATACAATAACAACCGCTCAGCCAGTACAGTAATTAAGCTGTGGGCTTTATCACTGGGGAATTGGGGTTTGATTCCTGGAAGTGGTAAGAGTTTTCTCTCCTCACCACAGACTTCAGAATGACCCTGGGGCCCACCCAGTCACTTATCCAATGGGATCTGGCAACTCTGTCCCTTCAGGTTTGTAACCGTTCCACTGCTACACAACTTAATTTAATGTACTCAACTTTATTAATTTGAAAGCTTAATTGTACAAAATGAAATGCAGTGAACAAGGGTAGTGAGACATAGGTCAATTCTTGTATGTAAGAGTAAGCGTTTTCACAAGCTTACAACAAGAAACAGGAAGACACCCGTCAAAGGTTTATTAGTGGAAAGTTGCGTTGGAGAATGGCTAAAGAAATCCTTTGTGAATTCAATACTTGGCAGTTTGTGCATGCCATAACTTAAAAAGAGTGAAGTTTTTAGGGCCCAAGCGATGCTTAAGCATTTGTCAAATTCTGACAGAAATACGTTGGAGTCAAAAATCCTTAAACTCTTGTAAGCTTTAAACAGAGTGGAGGAATATGTAATTAAGATACTCCTATTTTTCAAAAATAGCCAATCACTGAAATTTAAGGGTGTGATAGGGCAGTGACGCTGGTGAAAGCAGGAATTGAATGTCTGAGGAAGCGTCATGTTTTAGCGTCATTCGGAAACCAGGGGTTGAAAGGACTAGACGTAAAGTCGGAAAGAGGGGCTCGTTAGAATCAGACGTAAAAAAAGTCACACACCGGGCTCTGAAGCAGTTAGACATAAAAGTTACTGAGACTGAAGTTGTATCAAGAAGTGGATAAACAAGTGTTCAATAATAATTCGTCTAAACTTGATCTGTGCTTTTGTAGTTGGTGTTCATTGATTCCTTCTCAGAGTTGTGGCCCGTTCAAGGCTATGAGATAAAGAGACCCTCAGCTCTACCGACTCAACAAACCTCACCTCCTTAAAAATAACCCTGAGATAAATTTAGCACAAGAAAGAAGAATCTACAAGTGCGAAGTGCGGCCAACGTGTGAAGAAGAAGAAGAAGAAGGTAGGAGGTAGAGAGAGAAGAGGGGCGGTAATAGGTTGAAAGATGTAGTTGGTAGAAGTGAGAACCTGATAGCCGAGGCCAGGAACAATTCGGGAATCCAGGTGAAGGGGAATGCCCACAATTGGAAGCCACTAACAAGCAATGGCTAGTGACGACTGAGAAGACTTTATGTGTGCTGTAGTTACAGTGATGTGTGGAGTGTGTAACTCAGTGAAACTGTTGTAGTTATTTGTATTTTCAAGTGAAAATCTGATTACTATTCCAAACCCCATCTACAGTCACACTTACCAGGTGACAGTACTATACCTCCACTCCTCTAAACACCGTTGTGGCAGTGCTTAATTAAGCATACAGGCAACTAATAATTTCAAGAAATGCTACAATGAACATATGGCTAAGTACAAAATATTAGCCATGTACATATGCTGATGTAAATGGAATCTTATATATTGACTTCAGTTCTTCAGGAACAAACTGTGCTTGATGGGTGAGTTTCTGTATGTATAAAAGTATGTTTTGAGAAACTACTGGAGGGGGAGAGGGTGGTGGTGTGGTGGCCTGTCTGGGCCAATAAAGACAGCTGACTGGAAAAGTTGACCAAAAGAAAGAGAAACTCACCCTGGAATCCTGAAGGTGGTGACAGAATGTACCTCCAAAACATCAATAACAATGTCCACATCCACGTGATTTAAACCACCCAAAGACTTGACATGAAGAATTAACCACCACGAAAGCCTAAAACTGATAATGACTTAAGATTTATCAAATTACACAAACCATTGGTGTTATCCACGGCACGTACACTAATATACAGTGCATGTCACAAAATAAAAATGGTATTTTTAACATCCTGGATTCAATTCTTGACGCAAAGCCCGACTATTCTGCGTGAGAACTTTTGTTAATATAATAAATTGATAACAACAAATCTATCAATATAGAATACATGCTCAATTTAACAGGTTAATTGGGGGAAGGGGGCGTCTGATATGTCCGAATGTCCATCGAATCCAAACGACCATATGACCATATTCCTTGCCAACACATGAAACAAATTCTCCCGATTCCAATTTTTCAGTCAATTGTTACATTTGTTTTACATGCAAATTTATCCTTGTTCTTCTTTTGTCCATGGTGTATTAATTTAAAAAAAAAACTGTAAAACAGAACACAACAAACACAGCAAAACACAGATTTAATTTGCGATAAAATGATCTACGTAATAGAGAAGCGTTTGCAGCACGACTGATGAAGTGTGTAAACATGACATATCAACAAGACTGTTCTGCGGAAGTGCCGACACATCAACTGGAGAAGAGCAGGGAGATATCAAAGAATTCTGCCCATTAAATCTAGGATTAATGTAATGACATCCGATCACATGAAAGCAAGCCTAGCTCCAATACAAGACCTCAAGACAACTGGACCATGCCCAATAAAATACTGGCGCACAAACCTTTAAGGGACTATCATTGCAACTAACTTATATTGTAACAATGTGTTCTTCTAAGGTGTTACATGCAAACAGAATTTGCAAAATCTGAAACATGAACACACCTCTAAGCATCTGGAATGAGGAAGCATACGTGAGTGTCAGACCAATGTACATGACAGACGTAGCCACCATATCACACATCGCGGGTGGCAACAACACCAATGGGTTAAATGAACGGTTTCCTTTCAAGAGCTTCATCTCATCCTGGGATCCATCCTGCAGAAAAGATCAGGTCATATTAGTATGTAAAGTTATCTCTATGCTTAATTCAACACCAAGCCATGAATACATATGGGGGAGTGGAGGTACATCTCCACATATTCTTAACCTCAGCACTATGTGAAAGTGAGTGGTCAGCTTCACACACTGTCTGCTTTATTCCAAAGGAAAGAGCCTATAATACCCACTGGATAAGAGACTGGGTGGGATTCAGAGCCAGTCTGGACACTGCTGGCAACTGAACACAGATTCTCAGCCTGTAACCTAGTCAGTATACTGACTTGAGCCATGCCACCTCATATCAGCAATACAGAAAGTTTTTTTTTTAACTTTAACTGCACTTCATGGTGACTGGTCCTCTGCTTACCACGAGGCATACAAGAATTTTGCTGATGAATCAGCATGCCTGATGGATGATAACATTTGGAATGAAGAGATTAACTAACTTGTTGACTGCTTGTTGGCATTATGTTTCATAGCAAGCAGTGTAATTCATGCATGGGAGTTTGTTTATGATTTGTCGGCAGTAGGCAGCAGGTATCAGTTCCACTAGCCATTTGTTCTGCTACAGCTACTAAACAGTGTGGTGCATCATGGCATGGTATACTTTAGAGCAATGTGTATTTATGCATGAAGCCTAGGTGAAACACAAATCTGCTAGAAAGTGTTAGCAAAAATTTTGAAAACAATTCACAATTTGGTGAATAAACTTAGAACAACTAGATTCTTAATAGACAAGAAACAAAAATGTAAGCGTCAAGTGTTTACCAAGGAGAAGTTAGATGACACAGCGGCCAAACTTGTACACCTAGAAAATCACTGAAACATCTAGTTCAACATATTGGAGAGTCAAAGTCTAAATCAAGAAATGCAACATAATTGCTAGAAGCTTAGGCTCTATAAAACAACCGTAATCCATGCCTTGCAGCTGTGCGATCCAGCTACCAGGGTTCATTTTTGCAGTTCGTTTCTACAGTCTGTCTTTAAAGGCAAGATCAATCCGCAATTGACATCCTTTTCTGGTGAAGTAAGGTTTCCTTTGCAGAGATGCATAAATACTTAAAACAATCGCTACTGCTGTTCAGAGAATCAACACCTAACATGAAGAAAGCAGTCTTCTGGGATTTGGCACCGTGTATATGTGGTGTTAACCGACGTTTCGGAGGAACGTATCGCCCCCATCTTCAGGGTTGAAGAAAAAGTATAAGTAAATCTGCAAGCGACNATTTGATGTACTGTAAGTGCAAGAAGGATTGTTGTACCTGTGTTTTTGATGAAATAATTAATTGCAAAAATATCTACGTGTAGAGGAACAGCAGTTCAACACCTCCCGTGATCTGTGAATTGTAACTACTTCATTCTGAATGTTATAAGCCATCAGGCATGCTGATTCATCGGCAAAATTCGTATGTGCCTCGTAGCCAGCGGTGCACTGGTCACCATGAAGCACACAGCTGTGGAAGTGGTCAACAAAGTAAAAATCTTCTCTGTATAAATATTACATAGAAAGAGTAACTAACTTCACAGAGCTGAGTCCTTCTTGAGTTAGTTAAGAGAAACCTGATCAAATTAGCTACTAATTGTTACATGTGACATCATTGGGAAACAAATGAATATTTATTACTGGTATCTGGAAGTGTTTACATTTCTAATTACACAATAACACAAACATACATGTTAACATGGATAATACTCACATGTTTCCTTGAATAATAAAAGTACAGGAACTTAAATACCAACAAACAAAGCATTTCTCCAATAAACATTGAGCAAGCTTGAACAAACGGATGATTAAATTTTCTTAGCTTGCCATCAGAATCTTCTGCATCCATTCGATCAGCCCATCTGAAAGATAGAATTCAGAGGTATTATAACAAACTGTGTACAAAATGAAGAGTTATATCTTCTGGGGTATAGGGCCATGTGGTCCAGTGAATGTCAACCCAACATTTTGGTTTCTTGTTTGGCTTACTCATCAACTCTTCAGATCATTTGGCTTTCAACAGATTACATGGTGTTATATTACTGAAGTCAGAATTTTTCATAACCACCCACTGTGAGAATCTTACATCCTATCTGTATGCAACATACTTCCAGGTACAATGAGTTCGGGATGCGCCAGGACAGCTCAGTCAGTAAAGTATCTAATTACATGCGAGATCTGGGGTTCTCACAGCAGTTTAGTATGAAAATTTGCTGCCTTCTGGAATGTGACATTATGTATGAGTTATAAGTTTGTTATTTACTTACGGTGTCAGCACTGGGACCCTTTAGCATCAATGACATGGTGATTAAGGAATATGGAATGGGAATCATCAGCCGAAACCAAAATATGGTACACCCACAGTATAAGGGACCCAGATAATAACAGAGTTTAGATATAACAGACAAAACATGGCTGTTTACAATTGTGAACTTTTAGAGATCTTGAGGCACTAAGATTTTGTGGTTAGAAATTATTTAAAATAAAAAACACTGAGTCTTTCTATGTTTATTATGTGTACTGTCTATGTATCCTATGGTGTACTTCACTTGGTTATAGAGGACACTGACGATAGCGGACACCCTGCACCTTCCCCAATTATTAGTTCAGTACAGGTTTACTGTACCCAGAGGAAAACTCATCCTAGTAAGACTTTGTTCACTACAAATCCCACATGACCTGACCTCGGATTGAACCTTAGCCCCCGTGGTGGAAAATAGCCAATACTATGTAGTCTCGGAGGTAAGTTCAGTCTCTCCACCTGGTCTCATTAAGTTACTGCACAAATCTCATATATTTTAATGACATAAATCTGAACATATGATCTAAAAGTCACATGGAAGTTATGTTCCTTCAACAGGTAAATAACACATGGGAAAGCTATAGACATGTTGAGTAATGAACATTATGAAATCAGTTCAATGTCCACTTAACAACAAAGCACTGAAATGATTCAACATTTTAGGTTTGGAGGGGATAGGGGTAGGGGATATTTTAACAGATAATCACTACAGCAGTCAGGAAAATAAATGTGTAATAAGTCAACAGTTTTGTTATTTTAGTTAAAAAATTTAATTACAAGTTATTTAAACGCTCTTCATGTTGTTTTCCACACACCAACAAACTTCTGTGACAGTACCAAACCATGATATGAGACTTCTTTTGCACTGCATCCAAACCAACTTTAGGGCCCACTCATTTAGGGGTAGAGTGGCCGAGAGTGAAGCTGACCACTCACTCCCAGCTATTTCCTTTTCTTCTTTTAGGTGAAGCAAAAGTTATTTTACAACAATCTCCAAATCTTAAGGCTCCATAACATAAGAGGATTCATGCCTTTTGAGATGGATAGGATTTGGGAAGGTGTGGTCGATGCCCAATCGAGGTATTAACTCAGCATATTCCTGGAGTGCCGGGAAAAACACGAATCATCACAATCGGGGTAGTCGGTGTCCAGGCCAAGATTCGAACCGAACACTTCCCCCATACGAGTCCAACACCCTCGTTCCTCCAGCTAGCGCTTAAGTTAAGAATACATAGATATATACCGTTACCTTACCTTTACCAAGCCGTGATAGTATCCTTCACAGTTCATGTCCCGGTACTTAACATTTCCTTTTTCACTATTAAAAAGGGCAGTATATACTCACTTGGTACTCAACGTATTTATTGACCCAGTAACGACTAATACTGCAGCAATTAAAGCTTGGTATTTTGACCAACCCATTGTGTTACTGCATAAATTCTTTATTCATATAATAAATGGATTGTTCGTATTCCTTAATAGGTGGGATTTGAACTTTCATTCACAGAATCTATGTACGGATCATTCAAAAGCGATGTTGATTACCACATAACTAATTATTTGCAATGGCTGTCTCATGCCTTTAACGCCTTAAAGTACATAAGTACATAACGTTCTGCTCCTCCTCCCATCTGCTCACAGCTGATACAGCTGATCCGGAAAGAATCGATTACCGGTCAGTCTCTAGAAAATCGATTGTAGCACTTATCGACTGGGCAATTGATTATGGTGTTTACGTGACTGTTCGGAATTTAGGCGGGTTTCAGAATATTTTACATATTATTAACGTAGTACGAACAGTGAAGTATGCGAAGCACTATTTTAATTTAACTATTACGAATCGAAAATTTTACACATCTTTTTATAATCTCTCATACGAGAGACAACAGCGGAACGAAGTATTGCAAATTTGTAAACTTGATAGTTCTTGTGCAATGATGTTAGAACCTGCAGAAGATACCCGTCTACAAGAACGTGAAAACGATGGTCTTCTCACAAGGACAAATTTGGAATTCCGTTAATGTAAGTTTCTATTAAATTTATTTTAAAACTGAGTATTGTTGTTGACAGCTGAAATCGCATTCAGTTATATTTAGGTGCAGCCAGGGCTGGAATGAGAGCACACGCAAAATGAATGGCAGCCCGGGGCGATACTATTTGAGGGAAGCCCATTTTAAAAGCAATTTTGTAAATTTTTGTTAAATCGAAATTAATTTATGCTGCTCTTTTGTTTATATCATGACCAATAATTTGTATTAAACAAAACATATCATGTAACAACTTAAACAGGAGTAGGTTTTTTTAACGTCTGACTGAAGTTACTCTTAAATGCTGTTTTGCTTTTATCACTCAAGAAATACATTTCTAACAGCAGTTTGATCGAACAATTGAGTAAGCAACTGATGTTTACATGAATAACTCATGTAAGATGAAAAAGAAATGTAGGTTCTGGTTTCTTTTGGTCGGCGTTCATGTAAAAATAATCATCAAGTAAATTAACACAATTTGGAACAATCACAATGTTCGTACTTTTATTAATATGAAACTGTATAAGTTTGAACCTTATTTCACATTTACATAAAATTGAATATTTGTTATAATTAACTCAAAAGCGAACGACACTTGTGAGTTCCTTGGGTAGAGTTCAATGACGTCGGGCAACCATGCCACATACTTAACACCTTCCAACCAACACATTGACCGGGAAAACATTTCTGCCCTTGACAGTACACTGGTCCAATTGAAGGGATCTGTTTAAAAGCGGGGTGTCTCAATTTCTGAAGCACGGCGCAGTCGTCTTGGTTGTAACGCCGTGTAGTTCGGAGAAAACCAGACACGTTGAAAAAATATATCGTTTCCATCTTCAAGGTCGAAGTGTAATCAAAAAAGAAACCGGCAGAAGCAGGCGGAAAGCTGAGTTCTGTCCCAACTACACGGCGTCACAAGTCAGAAGACCTTGTTCTGCGTAGTCGCCGCGGTGGGAGCCTCAGATCAAATGAGGCACTTTGTTTCACGTATATGAGAAATCGGCCAGTATATTTGTGGATGTGCCTCATATGATCAGTTACACAGTTACAGCGTGTATGGAGCTGCGCCCTACTGTGGTTTTCGAGTTCGCTTGAATTATTTAATACGTCTTTTGTTCTGTTCCAAAACCCCTTTGCTCTGACCCTTCACTTCCTTTCCTCCTTGGCCAAGTGCCCTTCATATTAGCGTTCAGTTACACGACACATGACAACAAAAGCATATAGTCTGAAAATTTTAACTAGCACATTTTAAATGCTGACCGCAGTCAGATATGCTCAATACCGTATTTCAGAAACTGAACTTTTTTGGTCAGACACTGTTGCGTGTGACAGTGTGTCCTCTTGCTTCAGAAACTTCTTTCTGAACCGTTCACAATGAATAATTCGCTGGAAATCACGCTTATATGTATTGCAGGTGTAATAAAGAACCAGGGGATTAAGCCAAGTGTTTGAATAAAATAGACAGTCTGTTAAGAAGACAAAAATCTTCGTAATATCAGAATTTTGATTTACAAGATATAGACTCACTAGAATTCTCATGATCATATTCGGTGCATAGCTGATAATTAAAACCGAAGTCAAACTTACAACAATTTTAGAAAGTTGTTTCCTTGTAATCTGTTTATCCTCAGATATTTTTCCTGCGACTTTTTGTGATTTCACTAGTATCCGCCTCTGTGTTATGGTATAAACTAATACCATAAAGAATAAGGGCAGTATGGAATAGATGAACAACTGTACTAATGTGACGCAAGGAATATAATAAAATCCATAACTTATTGGAGCGTAGATACACTTGTCGTAGTCATTTGATGCCGATAAAAGCGCAGGAAACGCAAGTGTCGTAGACACAAACCAGATTCCAACTAAATGAAGAATGGCTGCTTTCGAAGTAGATCCAAACCCATAATTATGTGCCCGGAAACAATGGGTCCTCCACGTATAAATGTGATAACCAAACACAATTACAGAAAACACAGTTACACCAATTATCAAATCACGTGTAAACATGAATATTTTACACAATGGGAGACCAAATTTCCACATTTGTGTGAAGGCACTGATAAAACTCATAGGCAGGAACACCATTATCATTAGGAAGTCAGCTACTGCTATACTGAAAATACACGCGCTTGGGGTTTCGAGTATTTTTTCATAGCTAGCAAAAGTCAAAAACAAAGCACCAGTACCAGTTGCACCAGACAACAAAATAATTGCAAACACCAGTGGTTCCACGAATGAGCAGAATATTTTAAAAAATTCTCCCCCTGAAAAATAATTGAAGCATTGCATGGATTGAAGCATATTCCAAGACCTTCCGAGCTCATTTTTAGGCTGTATACAAAATGGTGTTCTGTGTACCAGATGTATGGGTTTATTGTGACACCATTGCCAGGTCTTCTTCAGCGCACAGTCACATTCTAAAGGGTTACCATACAGAGACAACTTTTCCAGACGCCTCAAACCCATAAGCACTTCTACTTTCAGTGTCTTGAGCGAATTGCGGTCTAGTCTAACATCTTGGAGATTTGGAAGATATTCAAAACTTCTTTCAGATATGTCGGCTATTCCACAGCTCGAAAGATATAATTTCTTTAGAGAATTCACTTTGATAAATGACGTATTCTTAGGTATCACAAGTCTTGGATTGTTTGACAGAAGTAAGTCAGTTAAAAGCTTGTTGTAGATGAAGGTATCTTCATGCAAACTCCTTAACCTATTCCGCGATAAGTCAAGAAACTTGAGTCTCACGAGGTCTTTAAATAAAAATGAATCCAGTTCCTCTAACAGATTGTCACTTGCATGAAGATACACCAGGTTTGACAATGCTGCAAACATATGTGGTTGGCTTTGGTTATTCTTGACTGCCACTTTGCCAACGTAATGATGCTGAAATTTCCTTAAACAATTCCCGTTTATATTCAGTCTGACCAAACTTTGCAAGTCTGAGAATATATTAGATACCATTTTCTCTATCTCATTATCATTCAGTTTTAAGTTTGTCAGATTTTTCAAATCATGAAATAATTTCTGATCCAGAATTCTCAAATAATTCCTATGCAGTCTCAGATCCTTCAAACTTATGAGTCCGTGAAATGTATTAGACGCCAGTCTGGCTATGAAGTTTTTACCCAATGACAATATTTTTAAACTGTCTAAACCGTCAAATGCGCCAAACTCTACAATTTCTATTAGGTTATTATCCAAATATAATTCTTCCAATTTCTTCAAATGTGTAAATACGTTTGCATTAACCTCTTGAAGCCTGTTACCTTCTAACCTAAGTTCCTCTAAGCTTTCCAGTCCTTGAAAAACTTCGAGTTGAAGATTTTCTATCAGATTGTATCTGAGAGAAAGTTTGGATAGTTTTGTCATGTAACTGAAAGCACCCACTTTTATATACTGAATTCTTGCTGCGTCTGCCCAAAACTCTTTGAGTTCAGGAAAGGCTGAAGAGTGCCAGAAACCTTTCAGAGTTTCTATGTCATTGTGACTGATATAAAATCGCGCGATGTCGACCTCAGGTTCTGGAAGTTCTGTCAGATGCTTCGACGTGCAGTTGGCTGTGATGCTGCGGTCCCAGTCTTCATAGCACTCACATGGCTTCGGGCACCCACAGCACAATCCAGCGAAATAAAGGAATAGCACAACAAGACCCCAACCTGGAAGTCGTGTTGTCTGCTTCTTTACCATGGTCGAAATCTATAAAAAGAAATATTACAACTTAAGATATCGTAAAACGGTTTGACTTAGCAGTAATGCCCTTGTAAGATCTGAGGTTTTCAGTGGTGACTATGAATTAAGCAGTCTTCTGGGATGTGGCGCCGTGTATATATTGTGTTAACCGACGTTTCGGAGGAACGTATCACCTCCATATTTATGGTAGAAGAAAAGGGAAGAAATCTGTTAGCATCTACCCACGCTGGTTCGCTCGCGGATTTCTTATTTTTCCTCTACCTTGAAGATGGAGGCGATACGTTCCTCCGAAACGTCGGTTAACACAATATCTACACGGCGCCATATTCCAGAAGACTGTTTACTTCAGAGTAATGCCCTTGATTGGCCGCATTATAGCCCAAGCGGTTAGTCGCGAGTTTCCCACTGCTACGGCCCGGGTTCGAGACCGGGTCTGCTCAAGTGGGATTTGTGGTGGACAAAGTGGCGCTGGGGCAGGTTTTCTCCGAGTACTTCGGTTTCCCCTGCCAATCTTCATTCCACCAATTGCTCCACAATCACCCTCACCTATCATCTGGGGCTGGTACAATAGACCAGAAGTAGCCGCAGTACACGGGACTTAGTCCCAACCCACTAGCAACAAAAAAATACTGTGTCCAAGCGCTCTGTGCAGTGAAAAAGAACATAAAATATGAATTTTAATTATTACAGTTCAATCTAGTGGTTAATTTTTTCAGATTTGTGAAGGTATCTTGCAGCTGACAGACTTACCCGTGCTTCGCAGAATAGTTACTTTGTCTGACTGTGCGCATCGTGTTCTGCAGGAAAACATTGCGTGTTGCAGCCTCTAAAGGGTGTGACGCATAAACTCCGTATCAGAGCCATATATTATACACTCTGAGAACCCAGCTCTTTCCAACCTCATCTCACGCAGCCATGTTTATAATATCCGTGATGTTGTGAAGATAGTGTCTCTTTCCTGTATATGTTATGTACTCCTTAAAGAGGCACATACATTTCATATATTCTTCGTATTCCAAGACGTAGGAAGGTGGACAATATTAAAATGGATCTTAGAGAGATAGGATGGGATGGTATGGATTGGATTGATCTGGCTAAAAATAGGAACCAGTGGAGGGCTATCTTGAGCACTGTAATGAACATTTGGGTTCCTTAGAATGCTGGGAAGTTCTTGAGGAGTTGCACAACTGGCGGCTCCTCAAGAAGGGCTCAGCTCCATGAGTGAGTGAGTGAGTGGGTGAGCTCTTCATTACTTGTTTATGGGATAGTTTTTACACAGATTCATTACTGCCTTTCGATGCCTTAAAATACAATGGTAATTATATGTACCACTTGTTTAAGTGAGGTTGTCAGCCGTACGCGCCGGCCGCCCTTTAACCCCATGAAGATTCCTGGTATTCATTTTTGTTAGAGACTGAGTAGAACCCAGGGGCATAGTGCGGCTGGAAGGGTTAAGTCAATTGAAAAATATGATCTCATCAAGACTCGAACCCTTGATCTTCCGGCTTGTAGCATAGTGCCTCAACCAACTACGCTACAGCGTAGGGACGTCATCAACAATTCTTATTAGAAAAGGTAAAGCTATCCCTGTAACAGGCCATGGAGGCCCATAGGTTCGTGAGACGCTGAGGTTCCCACATTTTCTAGACAATCGGCTCACAGATGGTGGCAAGGTTGTCAGCCTTACGCGCCGGCCGCCCTTTACCCCTAAGAATATTCCAAGAATATACGCGGTAGCGTAGTTGGTTGAGGCACTATGCTACAACCCGGAAGGTCGCGGGTTCATGTCCCAATGAGGTCAATGGATTTTTAATTGACCTAATTCTTCCAGCCGCACAATGGCCCTGGGATCGACTCAGCCTCTAACAGAAATTAATACCAGGAATTCTTATTAAAACAAGATCTAAATTAAACATGGATTATTCATGCTTGCTGGTTAATATTTGAAAAAGGACTCGCCCAGTCCCGAGAGTGTGTGCATGCTTAGTTACATAGTGGCGTGCAGTTTGAGAGAGAGGCTGGTTACAGTCGTGTGCAACAATTTTTGCCAAGTGAACATCCTGAGAAAGTCTATTCACGATAGCTTGTGTCCCGCCCGATACACGAACCGGGGGGACCCCCGAATGCAGCTCAGAGGCATTATCTCTTGAGACAACTTGCTCCGTTGTTAACAAAAATTTCTTGTTGAAATTTTAATCGGCTTTACCGCCTCTGTGGTCTAGTGGTCAGAATTCCTGGAGCAGGGTGGACATGAAAACCCTTCTAGACGCTGTGAAAAAAAGAAAAAATCTTGCCTCTCTAGGAATTCGAACCCCAACATTCTAGCCTTTAACCCATCTCTATACTGACTCCTCTAGAGCCCTCTATTGGACCTTGTTCGGTTTCTCAGTTTTTTTTACACAGTCGGTAAAAGTCCTTGGAAGGGGGATCAGCCCGTTGCAAGGCCTCTACATACACACAGGACATCACAAACGGAGAATAAACGCACAAAATAGAAACATCCATGTCGTGAGTGGGATTCGAACCAACAATCCCATTGTGCGAAAGAGCGAAGACAGTTCATGTCTTAGACTGCACGGCCACTGTGATCGGCAATATACCGATTTACTTACATATTTATGGAGCTGAGCCCTTCTTCAGGAGAAACCAAATTTGCAGCAACTCAAGAATTTCCCAGCATTTATGGAGCCCGAAAGTTCATTACCGTGTTCACAAGAGCCCTGCACTGGTCCCTATCCGGAGCCAGATCAATCCAATCCATATCATCCTATCCTGTCTCTCTAAGATCCAGTTTAATATTGTCCATCCACCTACGCCTTGGTCTTCCCAGTGGTCTCCTTCCTTCTGGCTTTTCCACAAATATTCTATACGCATTCCTTTTCTCCCCATTCGTGTTACATGCCCTGCCCATCTCACCTTCCTTGACTTGATTATTCTTATTATACTTGGAGAAGAGTACAAGTTATGAAGCCTTGAGAATTTTCGTAACAAATTTATTTTTTACTGTGAGTAGTTGTTAGCCCCACACCCAACCCCCAAAATGGAGGGCCACCCCTTGTCGGCTGCCCGTGACTGCTTATTCAATATATTCGCAGCTGCTCTCCATATCTGGAGGCCGTCTCCTCCATCCGCAACCCGAGAAGGCGCCATGCCGTGGTGGTCGGGTCCCACCTAACATGGATATACAGACTCTTACTATATACGTACAAGAGGCGACCAAATGTTGCTGTGAAGCTTCTAAATATGTATCTGCATTCTCTGCCCCACAGCTGTATTCTGCAGTTGGACGATGCATCTTGCCGGAGAGCGCATGACACATGGAGGTAGTCCACCTGGACATCGCCAGTGTGTGGTGGGAAGTCTCGATAGCAAGGCTGCACGCATCTGCTGTGAGAGACTCAGCTGATAGTGCATGTCGAAAGAGAAAGGAAATGAGCAAAAACTCGGGTGAGTGACGACATAATATTAAATAAATGACGGCTCACAATCTTTAAGTATCGTAGATTCATTCATTTAACGTTCAATTTGTCGAATTTAAACAAAGGTTTCCGAACCTCAGTATTGTCGTAAGTAATTATATGAAATGTTTAGATACTATTTATTCAAATTTGGGTCGATTTTTGTTTATTTAACGACGCCTTCACTAGCTGGGTTAAATAGCGTCGGATGTTAGGATGACTGATTAACTGGAAAAGATGCGGAAACAACCGATTTTCGTCTAATCGAGGTTTTATCTCGGAATTTACCTGAGGAAATTTTGGAAAGAAGTGAAACACCTCTCAGGATAACCGATATAATGGCCTAGATTCGAACCCATCACCCCCCGTACACAGGTTCAGAGCGTTATCGCTATACCAACCTGTTCGATAAATTTTGGTCAAGGCTCCGTTAACAAATATAAACGGAAAATTTGTCCCTGTGCTTAACTGATGAAGCACTACTCCATAAAGACGTATGGGGGAGAGGATGTATTGATCCACGTATTCTTGATCTCGGCACTAGTTGGAGATGAGTAGTCAGCTTCGCCGCTTTACACCCGGGGAAAGAGCCCCCGGTACCCATTGGATAGGAGGCTGGGTGGGCCCTAGTGCCGGTCTGGACGACGTGGAAAAGAGAACATTCTTGACCCTACCGGGACTCGAACCCCGAACCCTCAGTCGTCTAGCCTGTAGACATATATAGTTTTCATTTTCATCATTAATGTGCTTTCGTGTAATTGGATCTAGAATCTCTGTCAAAAAATTCAACCGTGTTATAACAAAAGGTGCAATTATGAAAGTCAATAGCAAATATTTAAATAGATTTCGATCATGAGAAATACATAAATATCTAGGAATATCTGGAAGGAAGGATGCCAATATGCCCTCGGTAAAGACAGTGCTAGTTTAAATCACATACCATTCATCTAAATAAAATTTCATATAAATGTACTATCACACTATTTTACTTATGCTCTAAACCTGTTCAAATATCAGTCGAGCGTCATAAGTTTAACCAGGACTCTTATTGTAATTGACCATGTAAAGGTGAAACTATCCCTGTAACAGGCCACAGAATCTCATAGGGTTGTGAGACGTTGAGGCTTCCACATTTTCTATACAATCGGCTCACAGATGGCGGTGAGGCTGTCAGCCGTACGCTTCTGCCGATCGCTCTTTACCCCAGAAAGATTCCTGGTACTCATTTCTGTTAGAGGCTGAATCGACCGCAGGGCCATAGTGCGCAATTGACCATACACATTTACCAATCAGGACTGATGAAATAATTTCACCATCCAAACAGCACTTCACGAATACCAACATTTCTTACAGCTACACAGAGACAATCACACAAAAATTTTACTGGCGAATATAAAAGAATAAACAAGAAGCAATGTGAAAATTTTAACGAAGAATTGTACCAAAAATGTTTAAAGAGAGATTTATATGTTCCATATTATTTTTCGCCAATTGTGTTAATTTGTGATCATCTTAGATTATATTTAAGAATTATTTTAATTTTCAGTAAGCACTTGACAGGCTAGTGGACCCATTAGGGAGAATTACACAAACACACCGGAATTATATTCTCCAATAATATAAAACTTCACGCGTATATTCAAGTATATGACGAACTGAAGAAGGAAAGTATATGTCGAAACATATCGCTTATCTTGTATAAGCTGGTAGCAACCAGCTACTGCAACTGTGCAACTGAAACTTCTGCACGTTTCTGACTATTTCTTCTTTCTTACAGTTGAAGACTACAACTTGCATTTAATTTTGCAGTGTCAAATTGAGGGTTGCCACGAAAAGCAGTGTAAACACTTGTGACCCTTTAAAGCTCAGTGGTCACTATATGTACCACCAGCCTCAACACACTAGAACTCTGCATTCAGGCCACACAGTGTGTATTTGGGTGTTTCGTATTATCACGTATTTGGGGTTGTGTAATTATAGACGGGGTATGGATTAGATATCGGATTTATTGATCGCTTGCACACACCAATCGGAACTGCAGGCAATTACAGCGCTATCGCTAATCTCTACATTTTACGGTTCACCACAGCGCCCATTTAGCCTTTTCCGTCCTGCTGTATGTTACCCAGCCGTTCCCTGGCAACGGCTTTAACAGTGGAGATTCTTCAGCTTCCCGCTCTCACGTTATCCTTCACCGACTCTCGTACAGAACTACCTGACAGCTATTTCTCCGGAAATCTCAATGCAATTATCTGCTGCAACTGCAAACTGTCAACGCCGGAGTCAATTTTTAATTAATCTTCTACTGCCGATTATCAGCTCACTCTCAATTAATTATCAGCTCGCCTGGTGTCCTCGTTATATAGCCTCGGGGCTATTCATTGCAGCGGGAACGTGTTTACCCAGTCGTTGCCTAGCAATGGACGTCTATTGATTCGTCTTTTTATACTAGCAGCTATCCACGCTAAGTATTGTTCTCACAGTAAACAACGACTGTTCGCTAAATATCATTAACCGGATGGGCTTTGTAGCGGGGACGTAATGTGTTTCCTGTGAGGTACGGACTGAATCTTTATACATTACTTTTTTCATTTACATTCAGTAAAATATAAGAGGCTTAAACTTGGCGGTGATCAAGCCTACGACCGTTCAAGTGACTAAGCTGCCGTTGTAGCATAAGATACGTAAGATAAGCATGATCTGCTTTGCAAAGCCTGTACTGACAGTGGAGTTGTGTATAGTGCAAAAGGAAGAAGTTTCAATCGTGCTGTATGTGCGGTACACACACTTGATAAAGGCGAAGCATATTGATAAGAGACAACCCCATCCTCTCGTCAGAGAGGATGTTACATAAGGACTATGACCGCAAGGGTTCAATTGCAATAGAAAATGTCTCTAGTCGTGAGTCTCAAGGGGACTGACACCAAGACGAACTGATTGGCCGTAAGTAACTTTGACTTTGACTTTGACATTTATATTAAGTTTCATATCTTATTTTAACGCTTTCTATTTTTGCTTCTCAAGGTCCTAAGGTGGATTTATAGCATGGAAGAAAGTCGATTACATACGTTTTTAGGCCAATTGATTTATACTCGTTTGTTGTTTACGTAACGACGCAATCACTAAATATTGAGGGGATGGCTGTGGTTAAGAGGCATGAAGGCGTCATCTGCTATTTGCGCACGTCTAAAATACATGAAGAACGTATAAAATTTAAGATATCGGCCTTAAGGGATATGACACCGTGTAGTCCGTTGAAAGAAGGACGACACTGGGGAAGAGTATGTTGTTTTATGTTCAGGATTGAAGAGCAAAAGAAGCAAGAAATCAGATTAAAGCAGGTGAAGAATCTGAAGATGGATACGAAATGTTCCTCCGAAACTTCAGTTGACTTTTGACGGACTACGCAGCATTCTATATCAGAAGACATAACTCGTCATAACCGCCGTTGCCAGAAACTCAGATATACACTGTGTATTTATAAAATGTAAAATGAAAATGAAAGGTAAAGTTGTCCGTGTAACAGGCCGTGGAAGCCCATAAGGCTGTGAGACGTCGAGGCTCCCATATTTTCTAGACAATCGGCTTACAGATGGCGGTGAGATTGTCAGCCTTACGCGCCGGCAGCCCTTTAACCCCCAGGAAAATTCCTGGTACTCATTTCTGTTAGAGGCTGAGTCGACCTCAGGGCCACAGTGCGGCTGGAAGGATTAGGTAAATTGAAAAATTCAATGACCTCATCGGAAATCGAACCCGCGACCTTCTGACTTATAGCATAGTGCCTCAACCAACTACGCTACTCCGTGACCCACTCATGCATTAGCAGAAGGAACTAGAATGGTGTGAGATCGCATTTGAGGGGAACGGGGGGGTGGGGTGAAAATCGATGAGGGAACAAGAGTAGCAAACCTCGTTACACGCTAATTACCTTGTCTCCCATTTGTAAATACATCGCCCCACAGAGCAGGAGTGGTTACCGCATTCTTGGCTAAAGTCAAGAGCAACTCTCAACCTTAAATCGGTCAATGTTCTCAGTTTGTACTGTACATCTAGAGCCAAATGAATTAATACTTTCTCAGGTCGGTCAGAGCTTCCATTCTGGGATGCTGGGTTTGAATCCTTGGTCCTATATTCTTATGGTATAAAAGTAATCGATTATACCTTACAGTTTTACTTATATATAGTGTGACATATATACCGTTTCTAGGCAACGACAGCGAAATAGAAAACTATACAACGGCCGTTGCTAGACAACAGCTGAATAGCGATCACGTGGGCACCTCAAAAGACATGAACGCAACAATGGCACAGCAAGAGAGGAAGGGTGTTTCCTGTGCGGTCCCTGCCGAGATGTTATAAGCAGGACGAGTTAGGAGCTGGAGTTAGTGAGGAGTCGGTTGGTGAGTGAGTTACAGAACTGCAGTTCAGTCGTCGTGAGCTCTTGGTGTGAGAAGCTGGTAGTTGAGGCACCGTTCGGAATAGGACACGTGTACATATACACATTTTTGCTTACAATGACCGATACTGTGACCTCCCAGAATTGAGAAATTTCCACCTGGAACACTTTGTATATAATGTCTTTCATTTTTGTCCACAACTTTTGGTCGACATATTTTTTTTTTTGCACTAGGAAATATTTATCGGGGTACACTCAACACGCATAGGAGGGCATGGAGGACTTCATGCAGAATTACTGCTTTCATATTTAACCAGAACTGTAAATTATAAACGAAGTTTAGCAGAACTCTTCAATACCAAGTTCAATGGAACCGCTTTTAAGGGTTCGCAAGTTACGTATATGAGTATAGAATACAGACATGCGGAAGTCAAGGGGCGTATGTCAACACACTCTTGGTTCCAAACACCCCCAGAACATTTCTTTTGTAGCTACGCCCTTTTTGCATTCTTCCGTGATAATAAAAATAAGTAAAGCTATCCCTGTAACAAGCCGTGGAGGCCCATAAGGTTGTGAGAGGTCGAAGCTCCCAC